TGCACCACCACCTTCCAACTAAGAGAAAATATTTTTAAAATTTTAATTATATGTATATGTGTGTAGATATGTATGTAGGTGTGTGCATGTGAGATGTGAGTGTTGGTGCCCATATGGAGTCCAGAAGAGGGTATTAGATCTCCTGAAGCTGGAGTTATAGGGTGTTGTTACCTGCCTGACATGGGTGCTTAGAATTGAACCCAGGTCCTCTACAGTAAGTAGTAGTATACTGTCTTAACCACTGAACCATCTTTTCAGTCCCTTTTGTTTGTTTTCTGAAATGTGATCTTGCTATATATTTCCCAAATTGATCTTGAACTTCTTGTAGTATCAAGCAGTTTTCCTGTCACAGCCTCTTGAGTAACTGGAACTACAAGTTTGTGCTACATGTAGTGTCCGCTATGCCTCCATGATTTGCTTTTGTTTTGTTTTTTTATTTTTTTTAATTTATTTATTTATTTTTTTATTTTGAGACAAACTCTGTATGTGTATCCCTGACTACCCTGGAACTCCCTAAATAGACTAGGCTGGCTTCAAACTCACAGATCTACCTGCTTTGGCTTCTTCTGAGTGCTGGGATTGAAGGCCTTTGCTGCTAACCAAGTTCATGGTTTGCTTTTTAAAATATTCTTTTAAAAATGAGGTTTTATCATTATCTTATATATCTGGATGCTGTGTGTGTGTGTGTACACCACATGTGTACCTAGTGCCATCAGAAACGAGAAGAAGGTGTTGGATTCCTAAAGTTAAAGGTAGTTGTGAGCCACCAAGAGAATGTGGGAATCAAGTCTGTATCCTCTGGTAAAACAGCCTGTATTCTTAACGGCCAAGTTGTCTCTCCAGCCCTAAAATAGTCTTCAAAGTAAAATATGGGAAAATTGCTGACTATATTGTATGCTGTTATAATGTATTTCTTTTTTCTCTTGCTTGTTTTGTATACTAATAAAATAGCCTTAGAATCTTCAAAATGGTATTTATCTTTCCATATGCTAATAAATTGACTTGTTGGCTGATAGCCCCTGGATAGTTTTTTTTTTTTAATTCCTTTAGGTGTCAACCAGGGTTATTCTGTCTGCCTGTAAGAATTCTACTCCGTTTGATGTGGCAGTAGAGCTTAATGGGCAGCAGTCCTGGTGGACAAATCTTTACAATAGCCCTAAAGTTCTCATTATGTTAGAATAACAGCTTTATTTTTCTTTAGTTTCTAGAAAATCTGGCTAGTATACTACTTTATCTTCTAGTCATATTTGTAGCAGTACTCCTTTATCTAAATTCTACATTTGTGTAACTTCACTTTTCCGGACCAAGTTTATTGGTAAATCCTTTATAATACTAAGTTTAGCATTTCTAACTGCTTCATCAGTAGCAGAGTCGAGGAGTTGTGGTGTGCTCTTTGAAGCGCTACTCCCCTTATTTACCACTGCCCTGTGCTCTCTTTATCTGTGTCTTTTGCAATATCTTTTTTCCTGTTTTTGTTTTGTTTGAGATAGAGTCTCATTCTGTAACACAGGCTGGCCTCAGATTTGTGGTATTACTTCTGTTCAGCATCCCGAATGTAGGATTATAGGCATGCAGTACCATACCTGGCTGTAATGCCTTTTTTTTTCTTTTTTATGATTTATTTAACTTTATTTTATGTGCATTGGTGTGAAGGTGTCAGATACCCTGGAACTGGAGTTACAGACAGTTGTGAGCTGTCATGTGGGTACTGGGAATATGTCTTTATAATAAGCTTGTTTTTAATTCATTTTTCGTTTTCTTTTTTCTCTTTTGGTTTTTCGAGACAGGATTTCTCTGTGTAAAAGCTCTGGCTCTGTCAGAACTCACTTTGTAGACCAGGCTGTTCTTGAATTCACAGAGATCCTACTGCCTCAACCTCCCTAGTGCTAGAATTAGGTGTGTGCCACCACCACCTGGCTATTTATTTATTTTTCAAAACAGGGTACGTAGTTCTGGTTGACCTGGAATTCATTATGTAAGCCAGCTGGCCTAGAATTTGTGGTAATTCTGCCCCTGCCTCTTGAGTGCTGGAATTACAAACATGTACCATCATGCGTGATCTAAACTAGTAAATGTAAAGATTTTTTGAGTTCTATAAACCATTCTAGCAAATAAATCAACTCTAGGAGGAAATCAGGGACCCTTAATTTAAAATGCTAGTTGATAAGAAGCATGGGTGAAACAAGCTGGGAGTCAGGGTGGCATTGGAAGCGGGGCAGTTGGACACACATCCCCCCATGCACACACATACTCACACACATACACAGTTTGATATCAGAAGCATATTATTAGAGTTAGGAGAAAACTGAATTTGTTATTCTTACATCAAGATTATGGGTATTTTTGTTTTGTTTTATTTTGTTCCAGCCAATGGGAATTGAGTTACAGATAATTTTTAAAGATACTAGGAAGTTCTGACTGGTTACTTTTTAATTCTGCAATTGTCTCAGGTAACTGATGGCCATGCAAGAAAAATATCCAAATGACAGGACTTCTCATGCTACTTCACCAGGTAAGTAGTCTTCAGTATTCAGTTTTGACTTCTGCTATATCGTGTGTGTGTGTGTGTGTGTGTGTGTGTGTGTGTGTGTGTGTGTGCAGATCACAGTTTCAAGACTATCCTGGGCTGTCTGTGCATCCAGAACCTACTTCAAAACAGAAATAATATATTTGTTTTGTTTATTTTTTTGGTGTTGTTAAGCTTTGAATCCTGAACTTTGTAAATGCAAAATAAGAACTCTACCACTGAGCTACATCTCCCTCGAAAGAAAGAAAAGAAAGGAATTAACAAATGATAAAACAAGTCAGTAACACACGTACTTGAGGACAGGCAGGAGGATCAAGAGTTCAAAGGCATAGGTGATACTGTCTCAAAAACAAAAATAATTTGGATTTAAGTCTTTCTAGGACTTGCTTTGTATTTTGTTTGATTCTTACTGATTTCGTAGACAAGAACTTACTATATAGTCCAGGCTGGCCTCAAACTTGGGAATATCTTTTTGTTTTAGGTAAAATACTGGCTTTGTTAGTATATTAATAAATTTTGTAAAGATTTTTTTTAAAAAAATTAAGTGTATGTGTGGGTATATGCACATGAGTATAGCTGTTAGGCCAGGCCAGAGCAGGTGATAAATTCCCTCTAGAGCTGAAGTCACAGGTAGCTGTCAGCCACCCAAAGTAGGTGCTGGGGACTGAACTTGGATACTCAGAGCAGTATTTGCTTTAACAACTAAGCCATTTCCATGACTGTTAATTTTAAAAAAATCATAATCTCACCTTCCTGTTGGTACACGCGATAAGCTTTGAAGTCAAATTCTACTAGTCTTGCTTTTTCTTACATGATCAGAAAGTAAAGTGTTTTGATTTTTTACATTTTGAGATTTTTTTTTTTTTACTATTTTGTGTGTATGCCTGTTCTGCCTGCATGTATGTCTGTGCACTAAGTACATGCCTGATGCCCAGAAGAGGGCCTTAGATCCCATGGAACTGGAGGTATGGATGGTAGTGAACCATCATGTGCGTGCTGGGTATCAAACCTGGGTCCCCTGGGAGAGTAACTAACCTGTGCTCTTAATTGGTGAACCACCTTTCCAGCCTGTTATGTGCTTTCTCTGTATTACCTTCAAGATAACACCTTTTCTTTCTTTCTTTCTTCCTTTCCTTTCATTTCCTTTCCTTTCCTTCTTTCTTTTTTTTTTAAATATTTATTTATTTATTATGTATACAATATTCTGTCTGCGCGTATGTCTGAAGGCCAGAAGAGGGCACCAGACCTCATTACAGATGGTTGTGAGCCACCATGTGGTTGCTGGGAATTGAACTCAGGACCTTTGGAAGAGCAGGCAATGCTCTTAACCGCTGAGCCATCTCTCCAGCCCCCTTTCCTTCCTTCCTTCCTTCTTTCTTTTTTTCTTTTTTCTTTTTGATACAGGGTCTCGTCTCTCTGTGTAACCCTGGCTAGACTGGAGCTTGATATGTAGCCCTGGCTAACCTTGAACCCAAAGAGACCTGTCTCTGTGCTAGAATTAAAGGCATATACCACCTGGCCCACTTGAAACTTTTTAGATTGACTTCAATCTAAATGTATCTGGATTGACCTGTTGAGAGTACCCTGGTTCGGACTAACAATAGCTTTCAAAAAGGAACTGAAGTATCGGTTTCTTTGTGTGACCTTGGCACATGTAGGATAATTCGCACAATCGTGATTGAATGAGGGTTGCTGCTGGTATTTAGTTTGTAGAGGCCAGTGATATTAAACCATTCTGTGATGTCTAGACTACATAAGTTATACGTTGAAGAATATTTGTGCTCAGAATATTAACAGCACCCAATCTGAAAGCATGTAAAGGAATGTGTGTAGATATTGGACCTGGACATGTACATAATAACTCTCTTGTCTGTAAACAAGATTAAAGTATTGTGGCTTCAAGATTTCAATATAGTGTGTGTGTGTGTGTGTGTGTATGAGGTAGAACTCTGTTGCAATGACTGGTCTGGAACTGGCTATGTAAATGTGGCTATCACTGAACTTGGAGTGACCTTTCTTCCTCCCAAGTACAGTATTATAGATATGTGCCACCATGCTAGGCTTCTTGTTAGCTACTCATCTTTTAACATTCTCATGTCTCATGTATTTCCATTAAACATCAACTAACTCAGCCCGATGGTGGTAGCACATCTTTAATCCCAGCACTCGGGAAGCAGACGCAGGCTGAGTTCGAGGCCAGCCTGGTCTACAGAATAAGTTCCAGGACAGCCAAGGCTACACAGAGGAACCCTGTCTTGAAAACTAAACAGAATGGGGCTGTAGAGATGACTCAGCTGTTAAGAGCACTGGCTGCTCTTCCAGAGGACCTGGGTTCAGTTCCCAGTATCCACATGGCAGCTCACAACTACAGATCCAGTTCAAGGGGTTCTGACATCCTCACACAGATATACATGCAAGAAAACACCATATAAAATAAAAATAAATAAAACAAGACAAAAAAAGTTCTTTGGAATGGTTGTTACCAGGCTTTTAGAATGCAATTTCTCATTTGCTGTGGCAATAACCATAAAACCCATCCCTCTAGGATTTGCCATGTACTGCTTTGTTAGTAGGCAACCTTTTAGGAGCACTTTATTGCTGTTGAGGTTTTAAGAACCACATGTCAAATTATCACTATAGTGCATACTTAGAGCAAGAATCTATTGTATATCCTTCTATGTTGCTAGTGATAAGAAGGTGTTGTAATGTAGATAGGTCAAACTGAGGTAGAATGTAGCTACAGGTACTTAGTTCATTACTTCCATGTTCTTGTCATATAGGATGAATAACATAACTGGATTAATTCCCAATTATTTGGAAAAGTGTTATTTTGAGAAATCTGAAACTTCAGCAACATGGATGGACAATGAAGGAATTACATGTGAAATCCCCTAAATAAAAATATACTGACTTTGCCCCCCCAAGTACTTAATTGAGTTTCATCAGCTGGTTTACACCAAAGTGAATAATGTCTCTTATTACAGGTTCCAGTGTGATTCAAAAAAGCAGTTCTCTGGGAACTGAATGGCAGACACCAGTTATCTCAGAGGCCTTTCGTAGCCGCTTCAGCCGTTGTTCAAGCATAGCTGACAGTGGGGACACAGCCATTGGAACATCATGCTCAGACATTGCCGAGGGTAAGGTTGGATTCGTGATTGGATTGTCAACATACGCCACCATTTTCAGTTTGAATTTCACATATTTATTTACAGAATGTCATTTACAGAATGATCATAGAGTCAGGCTATCCAATTATGGAATCTGAATAATAATGAGTAATTATTTCTTATTTTTTAATATCACCAAATTTGTTGTCTTACTATGACATGAATATGCAGACCTCTTTTTTGTTTGTTTTTTGTTTCTGTGGTACTGGAGATTGAATCTTGGGCCCTTACACATGCTGGGCAAGCGTTCTGCCAGTCAGACATAGTCCTTGTCTACTGTTTTTCATTCATGGTCCCTTTTTCCTTTACTCTAGGCCCGTTTGTGTGCTATTCCCATCTTTTAGTTGCTTCTACTAGCTATGCCAGTTTTATTACTATGCATGTTCCAGTAGTCCTACAAGACTTTCTCCATCCCTTTCTTTTTTTTTTTTTTACACTAAAAAAATGGAATGCTTCACAAATTTCTGTGTCATCCTTGTACAGGGGCCATGCTAATCTTCTCTGTATCGTTCCAATTTTAGTATCTGTGCTGCCGAAGCGAGCACTCTATCCCTCTCCTTAATTGATCCCTCTCATATAACATTTTTGTATCTTTAATATCTCTGCCACTTGTTTTTGCACTGAAATATCAATTACCAATCAATACGTTACAAGGTATATAGGTGGGGCCTAGAGGGCAGAAGGTCTAAAGATAATAATTATTTATCGGGCACAGACTTTTGATCCCAGCACTCAGAAGGCAGAAGCAGGCAGGTCTGTGAGTTCAAAGCCAGCTTGATCTGATTTAGTGAGTTCAGGACAACCAAAGCTACATAGTGAGACCATGTCTCCTAAAACAAACAAAGCAAACAACAAAAAATTAGCATTTATGGGGCTGGACTGACGACTCATCAATTAAAAGCACTTCTTCTAAAGGACCCAAGTTTATTTTCTAGCACCCACATCAGGTTACTCACATCAATCTGTAACTTCAGTTACAGGGAATCATGTGGTACACATGCATATATGCAGACAAAACACTCATATGAATAAAATAAAATAGACTTTATTTATTTGAGACAAGTCTCATGTATTCCAGTTTAGCTTCAAACTCCCTATGTAGCTAAGAATGACCTTGAACTTCTGATTCTTCTTCAGACTTGTGCCACCATGCCTGATTTTTATGGTGCTAGGGATCAAACCCACATGTTTCATGCATGTTAGACAAGTGTTCTACCAACTGAGATATATCCTCCTGAAGATAACTTTTAAGCTAATGATTATACTCTTAGGTTTATAGCCAAGAGAAATGGAAACATATGTACATGAATGTTCATAGCAGCCTTATTCATAATAAACAAAAAGTTGAAACACATTCACAGCAGATGAATGGTTGTATATCCATATAAGTCCTTAGAATAAAATAAATGAAGTACTCAGGTGGTTTGAATTAGATGACCCTTAAGAGCATTAACCAAAGTTAATAAAAAACAGAAAAGATTCATATTACATATGATTTTTAACATTTATTTCTCTCTCTCTCTCTGTGTGTGTGTGTGTGTGTGTGTGTGTGTGTGTGTGTGTGTGTGTGTGTG